TTATTGGAAGTGAAATCATAGCCTTTATTTTTCAGATTGTGTTAGGAAAAGAATGCATGTATCCATGGTTGAATGACCAATGAACAAAGAGGGTAAGTTTCTAAAGAAACTGCCGTCTTGCGTCTGTGGAAAAGTATAACAAGGTTATTAGGTATTATCAACTGAGTTGATAACGTGAATTGGCCACCATTTAGAGTTTCAAAGCTAATGTTTTGAGCATTAGTTTTTTGTTATTCACTTTGACCTAGGGCTAATGCTTGAAACATTAGCTTTGAAACTCCTAACAGTGGCCAATTTACATTATCAACTCAGTTGATAATAGCAAATTACCTTCATTACCTTTTTATACTTTCCCATTGATGCAGCACTACAATTTCTTTAGAAACTTACCCCCTTTATCTCACCATGTAAGATATTATGTAGTTGGACAACAGCTTGCCATGAGAGACTTGTTGTTCTTTGGTTTTACTTCTTTGTAAACTGCTTTGAACTTTGCCATTATTTGGAGTTGTTATGATGAGTTGTGAAGTCTCACGTTTCTATCAAACTTCTCTGGAAGTCTGGAATTTCTTTCTTGAAGTGGCTGTTTGATCTGGTCAAAATTTAGCAAGAGTAGTGAAGAATTATCATCATGAGCCTCCAAAATCAGGTTATGAGCACTGTTGCTTGAAAAAAATTATGTAATTAGAAACAACTGATATATCCTCAAAACAAATGCGAAAGATAGTACCTTTTCTAAGGCTCTAGCACAACATTTTCCTGTCTTGCAGCAATCTGACCAAAGGGACGGTAATAGTTAGGAGTTGTATAGCTAAAATTGTACATTGTTGCTCTTGCATTTACTAATATGTAAAATTTTAAGACTCCCCATCCCTGTAATATGAATGCATTAGAATTTCCCTTACCTTTGTAAAAGCGAATTTTCCCCTTGTTTTGTAGGATGCAGCTGAAGTATGTAAAGAATACATGAAAAGAGATCCTACACAACTCCATTTTACAGTTGTTGCATTGTCCAAAACTGAATGAGTTCTGCTGAGACTCAGATAAATCGACAATACTCTCAACCCTTTAACTCCTATGAGTGACCAAGACAAGTTTCTCCTCACAATATCGATACATTATAAACCAGATAAGTAATGAGACTAAAGAAAAATATCAAATTGGGCATAATTTGTTGATTCAGTTCTAAATTCTCTGAACTAACTTAAGAATTGTATGGTTGACAGTAAGGAGAATTACAAATTTGATCTGGGAGTTAAAGGATTAATAAGAGAAGAAAATTAGATCATGAAGAAATTGTTTGCTAGGTTTTTTTTCTCTCTTAAAGTGAAAGTCACAGTACAAAAGCTACATTTTTTTGTGTGTAAATTAAGTTTGTTGTTAATTCAAACAGCAAAGATAAAATTGTGTTGAAAAGAACTTTTTCCTGTTGGACATGGCTGTGTTGTCTGTTTGAGTGAACAGTGTGGAATGGCCATTTTTGATGTAACTCGTTTATTCTCATGGTAATTTTGGTTTTATCTAGTTGGTTGATAATTTAAATTGGCTACCTTAAAGAGTCTCAAAGCTCTGACGAAGGGCTAATGCTCAAAACGTCAGGGGGTTGTACAGCTTCTTGCTAGGTTTCTGTACCCAGATATGGCCCTTTGATGGGAACTTCCATTGGAGCGTGAAGGCCAAACTTTCAACTTAAGACCTCCAACACTACTGTGAGTAAACTTGGCTTTGAAACTGTTTACGGTGGCTAATTTACATTATCAACCAAGTTCGTAAAACCAAAATTATCTTGCTATACTCCTCCACTGATGCAGCACCACAGATTCTATAGAAACTCACCCCCTTTGTTCTCATGGTAAATCAAATAAAACCAAACTATTCTAAAAACAGTTTTGTAAAAATGGGAATACCGAGTTTTTGTCCTTTCAAGGTCCCAGTTTCTGTTACAACTACTATTTTGCAAATCTACTTTCCTTTGTTAAATATGGGGTTTTGCCACTCTTGTGTGTTTGGACACATTCGAAAACCTAGGCTTTCACAGAAAGAGTCAATTCTGAGTAAGAGGAACACTCTTGTCCCGTTTCACTTTCACAGGACAAAAATTGTACTCATTGTCGGTCAGCTTTTATTAATAAAAGATCGATGCAACTGAAAGTATATTGGGGGATAGATATCTCATCCTACGGAAATTACTGATTGCTTGGACTAGAGGAAAAAAAAAACAAAAACGCGATGCTTAATGAGGAAAATATTGCATAGCTATTAAACAGATTCCCGAAATCCTGAGCAAGCACAAATGTAATACCACGGTTGGTTCGAACTTTGCCGGTTCGATCAGTCTGCGATCTGCGGGCTTTTTAGACCAAATCTACCAATCCTGAATTCTCTTCACTAAACCCCATTTAAATTAGAAAGAGAACTAAGAGACCACTATGGCTTTTAAGGATAAGACCATACGACCATATTAAGCTTCTAACACAGATGCGCCCAAATTCTCTCATAAGACGGATCACAAGGACACATTTTTTCCCAAATTTGCAATTAGAGGTTCGAGCAGTACTTTCCTGCATTAAAGCTGTTGGTAGATCGGAATATAGAATTGGAGAAAAGCCTACAAGAGCAGAAGCCTGTGTCACCTAACTCAGACGTCCTTTAAATGTATTGGGGACATAACAACTTCTCATACATGACATACTTACTTGTGACTCACTCGGAAACCGCTGGACAAGTCATGATGATTAATATATCTGAGGAGGGACTGAGGTTGAGACCAGCTGTGCACTTTATTTGGCAGTCAGTGAAAAGTTTTGCTTTATTATGTTGCATTTAATGGGTATTGAAAATGAATAACTCTTCATAAGGATGCGAATTCTGTTTGGTTAACCTCACGCTTGACAAAAACGTAGCTCCTGGTGGATACCTTCTTAACACTTAAAGGTTACATGGTTCTGTGAGAACCCAATATGAATATTGATAGAGAACCTTGTTAGGGCTTCTGATTGACCAATTCCTATGGGCAACTGTGCCGAAAAGGTCCGATTAAATAAAGAAATTTCAGGAAGATTCATTGCTGCTGTCTCGTTTATTATCCAAAAATTGTAGTTTTACAACAATTATAATCTAATACTAAGAAAGGAAATTACCAAAAAGTACTAAAAAAAACGGACATCCTGTTCGGGTCCTACTCTATGTCGACTAAAAACTGACTGATAATGCCGGCTCCCACTTCAAAATAACATCATACATTTTCGAACGAGTCCCACATGCACACATTTATTCTACTGAATCATAATGCTATTACAATATCTGGCTTTTAACTCCACAAGGATCCAACTGATCATCAGGCCCCATACTGTTCCTTCAAATTCGTCATGAGTTTTACGACCCACTCAGCCCCTGCCACAGTTGAATTCGCCACTGCGATGGACATTGCATGCGCAAATCCTTGGTAATCAGCTGCAACGAAGTGATTGCTTCGATGAGGTCCGAAAAGCGAGCGATCTCCACAGTCAAACTTCCAGTTGGCGATTTTGTCGTTATGATTGTTGCAACACGCGAGTCTCCCTTCCTCGCTAATGTACATGGTTGTTTTGTCCTGGGCACAAACCCAGTTCAAAATCATATCGTTTCGCCTAAGTAATGAGAGTTTCTTAGATTACGTGTCACGGTCAAGTTACTTAAATCACAACCACATTGTTTTGCCACAGAACTTTATCAGACGGATAAGGCACAAAATAAATAGAAGGAGGTCACATTTGACAAAATAAATAGAAGGAGGTCACATTTGACATAAAGTACTTTATTTTGGTTCAATTACCGACGTCCAATGATCGAACACGCAGGAAATACTAAATACTAAGCCTAAAGTGATTGACTCATGGTGCAGTTTTATACATCACTCCGAGGACTGAAAGACTGAAAAGATGTGAACCAAGGTTTGTTACTTACGAGTTATTGCATCCAAGCACAGGACAGGGCATCCTTAGAGTAAACCACGTCGGCATTTTGGACTTGGTCGTTCGCTTTTCTTGTTTCACAGTTGTTTGCCTTCCCCTTCCACTGGCGTCCAGCGCTTACTGGTGCAGTTTGCTTTCGGAAGCTTTTCTAAGAAGTCATTTTCATCCAATCACCGAACGAGTTGCTCACATAATATTTTCATTAGCTAGGGACAAACACCTCGAGGGATTTTCACCGAAATTACAAGAGGGGAGTTTTTCGTGTCAGGTGAACAATTATTTATTGGTTATGATATTTCTCGGAATCTGTTGTGGTATATTTAGAGAGTTTAAAAAAGGTGTCGAAGACGAATCGCAAACCGAGCAGATTACTTTATATAGCTACTCAATACTCAACGACTTCATTCTAGGAAAGGTTTTGCAGAAGCGCTGTCAGTCGAATTGCTAAGAGCTTTTGCATCTAGGGATAACATCAATAATCTTTCTGAGAATTGTTTTTTTTTGGCTCTTTTTGTTTCGTAAGTTGGAATTTCTAGGAATTACCATAGGAAGGAGATATATCTGAGGGGGTTTTACCTAAAGTGATCTATTGAGATGCAAAGTCCGGGACTCTTCCCGTTTGCAATAATATCCCTAGAGAAATATAATTGGTCAAATGGTTTACAAAATTTGTTTGCATATTCACTAATTTCTGTTGAAATTCTTTGTATTCACGGCCAGAAGGTGGTTAAAATGGATCAAAAGTCCACGAGATTTGTTCCCTGTCTTTGAGTGACCGTAGTAAATCTATTCGAGGTTGGGCTTAAGCAAATTCTCCTAATCTCGAATTCGAATTCCCTAGAGCTGTCTAGTGGAAGATGATGCTATTGATATTTTTAGAAATGGATCGGATGACAGAAATTTCTGGGAAATTTACCCTTCCATTGTAGTGGGTAAACCCTGTGGACAGTGGGCAGAAGATTTGCCATCTGCTCTGCAAAGTCAAGGCTATTCGAGCTACTTAAAAAAGTAGAACTGCTTAGTATCGCTTTAAAGTGCCGAGGATCTTGTGCAAAGTCGGGCTTCAGTTCTTCTTGACGATGCTGTCTATTAGCCTTACTGCTGATGTCAGTTAGTCTTAAACAATTAATTTCTCTTTACACTCTATTCTGGGAAATGTTTTCATGCATATTAAGTAACAGAAAGCGACTTATTGTCAATCAGGAGGAGGAGAAGGGAAATTTCCCTTCGGTACAATTGCTTCAATAAATACATGAATTGTTCGAACCGATTCAGTCGTGCAGAAGCATCCACTGCCTCGACACTCAAGCGAGCCAGGACATAATGGCGTATCGTAAGTATCCAGATATTTCTTAATCATGATGTTCATCAACTATGAGGTTCTGAGAAAATAGAAATTTTTCATATAGTTTCCATCGCTCGCATCAGTTTTGAAACTCAGTACTGTGCCAGGTTATGACAATATAGAATAATTTAGGATTAGAGAGATGGAACATCATTAGGGAAATTGAATCGCAAGGTCTTCCGTTGTAAAGGCTCAAAGAGATGCGTGTTTTTAGAAGAATGGTGTTTACTGACTAGCCTACATATATAACAATTACGAGGGACTAGTCGTTTTTCTTAGTCTCGATAAGCTTGTGTATACCAAAAGTGTAAACGGAGAGCAAGCTGATGCAGAAATTGTCGCAAATGTGATTGATTTCGTTCACTTTCGTGTCCTAAATGCGTCGTTTACAATTCAACTATTCTTCGAATTTGGTTGATCGTGAAAAAGATATTAGTGACGTCATCTGTATTAACATCCAAGCAATTGTATTCTCCTGTATCCAAGTTAAGAAAATTAACATATGGAACATGAAAAGTCCTTTGATTCTTCTCTAACATTAGATGACAAGCAGATTCAAGACCATTTTGGGATTTAAAATCTCATTGAATCGATGATCATTGGCAAATTTTTGCTCGGATTCCAGGCTCTGTCCTCGGATCCTGTTGCTTATGAACCTCAACGAATTGCTCTCGATCTGCTGACGCTTCCTCGACTCATTTTTGAATGCGAGTTTTAAACGTCTGATTCCCATTTGAGATATATTTCCCCAGGATACGTTGGTGCGACGTAAAACCTGTTGGAATTTTATTTCTGCTAATTATTTCCAAGGTGTTATTTTATTGCCATTAATTTTTTTCATTTAGATGGCAGAAACCCAGGGAACGTGCCTCCGCACAACCCCAATTATGGAAGTAATCCCGCACGACACCACCAGGATGGTTATCCGGAGGGACGTAACTGGGTAGGTAAAACCGAAGGAAATCGACACGGAGGTCATAGAGAGGATCGCCCCCACGGGGGTACTCACGCGGGACATCAACGTAGGGATCATCACCATGGAGTTGATCCCGTCGGTCATGGATACGGAGGTCATCCTGGGGGATATCACCGCGAAGGTAATCCAGGGAGGCCTCGACCCGGAGGGTACCTTCCAGGACATGATCACGGAGGGTATCCTGCAGGACATTATCATGAAGAAAGTGACGCAAGGACAATCTATGATCAAGAAATGCAGACTCAGGCCCAGGAGCAGATTCAGAAGCAACGCACGTTGCAAGGTAACCTAACGAAACTCGATCGATTTTATTTTCAGGAGTTTGCTGGCACTAAAGACCACCTTTTTCATACTGCCTAATTCCACGTATTTGTTACACGTCAAAGCAGTCAAAGTTAAAATTTGCAGGATTTTTGTGAAGCTTTTGATTAAGTTCAAAGCAGCATTATGAGGAACGGAAAACGGTACTTACTGTCTTTTATAACTCAAAGGTATGGCTGAAATGTACTTGTAACTAGAAAGTAAATGATGAACACAGGATATACGTCGCATTCACAGAAAACGCACCAAGACCTTATAAGTATCAAAAATGACAGTAGTTCGAAAATAAGAAAAAGGAGTACGAAATCCAACGAGACTGAATTTCAGAAAGAGATGAAGCAAAATGTTTTAGGGCACATTGGAATAAGGTGCTTTGAGAGACCCTCAGCCATGTAAAGCTACTTATTAGGCCTAGTTAACTTGTTTGAGCTCACTCAATGTCCCTTGAAATGCCCTGTGTCACGAGATACACCAATACAGAAGTCTATCATTCCTGAAATACCTCTGAAGTGGTTGCTCCTGCTTTAATTATTCTTAAGACAATTTTCATGACAGCAGTATTCAACAGCTAAATTTTTCCCTTGATCCTCAGCAAGCGCACAGATGTTGTATGACGGTTATGAAAACACCATGGGTATGATTGAGGAACTGGAGAAACACGAAGGGCACAATATGTCTGCTGGGTTTTCAGGATTGATGACTCACATCATCCCAAAGGGAACCAAGAAACCCAAACGTGATGTGAGTTAGTCAGAAAACCTCGCTTAGGCG